TGTTCATCCGTGTAAATTATTTGCTTCTGTCGGTCCCGAAGATGACTTCCAATCGCGTGCACATAATCGTACGATTTTCCTTCTACTCTAACATCAGTCAGTATGCTGTTTGGGAGTGTAACGAATGTCCAACATACCTTCGATAGACTAGAGATAGGGCCTCAAGGCGGCGTAGCAGGAGGAACCAAAGGCCCTACCGCCATATCCGCAGGTGGCAATTAAGAGCGCAAGCACTGTGGGGAGGATTTGGCAAGGATCCAAAACAACTTAGCAAAGAAACTTGAAGGAGACCATATGAAAACGTACTTCATAACTCTGCTTGGGAAAAAGCACGAGAAATACGAGTAAAAGTTTTGAAATCCACTCTTCATGGCTTCTCTTAATGAAATAACTGTCATTCGAAAAAAAACTCGCCATAAAGAATTTTCACGATCCAAGTTGAAAAATGGAGGGGAAGGTAAACTTAAAGTCAGCAGTCCAAGATGAAACCTTGAATTGATAAATCAAATGATTGCAAAATTGTGTTTGAACCAAATTTCAGAAATTGAGAATTTGGATTTTCTTTAAGTTGTAGATTTACCACTATGGTTTATGATCTGAATTCGAGCAAGATTTCGTGAACAATTTCTTAATCTTCAATTTTCTACTACCGATTTTCAGCGTCACGATTTGACGATTTCGGTTTCTTGACATTCAATAGGTAATTCTCAAAAATCTTGAAACACGAGTGTAAGTACTTCGACGTAGCCAATGTTCTTCTGAGGATATTCATATTCAAAGATTAACTGTAAATAAAAAGTGAATTCCGCTTTCATTTCTCCTATAAATGCGGCTGAAAACGCAGATTATAAAACTGCCCCACTTATGTCTCTAGCGTTTTCCCCCAGCGAAGTTACGAGGTAAGTTTTCTTAAGAACATTTATGGATTCCTGCCAAGTTTTCTTGGATTCTGGCCAAATCTCCGGCGCAGTGCTCGCGCCTCTAATTATCTCCTGCGGACACTGCCGGCTAGGCCTTTGGTTCCTCCTGCGCGTCCTCCGGGCCTCAAAAGTGAAGGTTGTTTGAATATGTGTTCCCCATAGAAAGTGAAGGTTGTTTACAGAATTATAAATGAAAAATGCAAAATTCGCAAAAGCAAAATAAATCGGTTGAGAACGCTGCAATAAGTTTGAAACCTTTCATTTAGCAGCATTTCGAACTGTAAGACTTTGCTCCAGGACCAGGCTATCCGCAACACGGGGGAAAATGGTGAAAAGCTAATTTTTTCTTTGTGATTGTTTTAAACATCATCATTTTCAGTAATTGGTGATTATCAAGAAAAGATTAACAAGAAAAGAATTAGTTATGAGAATAAAAAGTTTTGTTACTAAGACGGAATGCCCTCATAGCCAATCTAGTTTTCAGGCGTCCTTTGATTTCTCACCTCCTTTTCTCAGTTTATGTTTTTGACGACTTGTCACTTTTGATCGGCTCGTAATTCTGAGCAAGATGCCCCTAAGCTTGAAAGATGGTTGCTTTATAACTCCAATAAAGAGCAATGAACAAGAACGCAGTTTTTGCCGCTTTGTTATCAAAATTTCATCACAATCCAAGAAGTAAGCTTTGCGACATTGTCAGCATTATAGACAGAAACACGATCTGTTGCACCAAAAAACCAAACGAAAAGTATTAGGCTGGAGAAAGGACAAGAAATTTTCTCAATAAACGGTTACGACAGATCGTTCAAATAAATAAAAGGCTTTTGCGACGTTGTCATCGTGAAGGTAGAGATCAAGAGCTTCAAGATGATATACTCTAGTAGAATTGCATTCAAAACAACGAAGAAAAGGCTAACAGAACCAAATGCCCCGTGCCTCGCATTTGGGGTAGCGGTAGCGCGCAAAGTGTGGAGACGCGGATGAGCAGAGGAGAAGGACCAGAGCCGACGGGCATTCGGCTCTGGTCGTGGATCTCCGCGCGGTCTTGACGAAACCCTGCAACATTACATATCATTCTGATCGCCATGATACGACCAGGAGCATCAGTAACGTCGCAAGCATTGAAAATCACTTTTCAACAAGATAAACCAGCATTTTCGTGCGCGACTCTCTGTGCATGATTTAAAGCAGTGGATCGGCAAAACTCAACGACTCAGGACTTTAACGCGGTAGGTTGCTTGTCACCCAGATGTAAAAATAGTGCAATTCCGCTCGCACAGCATGCCTTCCCTGCGTAAATCGCCCACAAACGTTACACGCGCAAGCTAATCTAACACGCGCTCGGACGAGTTGCCAATGCACCTCTCACCATTGGAGGCTGCCGGATAGGGGAACGAACACCTCAATTAGGCACCGCCTCCGCGGGCTACTAGTCCTTTCATCCTACTGTTGTGCATCGTGTTAGGACCATTAGTCCGCGTAGACGGTGCCTAATTGAGATGTTCATTCAGGCTGCTCGAGACCGCAATGCTATAACCATGAGGTCCCATAACGATTCAGTGCCTTCAACCTTCCTCGGGTGGAGGACTACATGTCGCCGAATTTGGAAGAGTCGGGCGGATTCCCTGCAGTAACGCATGCCCGCGCATGTACAAGGATGCGTATTTGTCGCAAATGACCGCGGCGACCGCCCTTTTTCGGCGACATATGGTCCTCTACCCACCTTCCTCCACTAGTCCAATTTTAAAGCGAAGAGCATTGGAAAACGCTCGTTAGCCATTTTCGCTCTTTAAAGTGCATTTTCAGGATCAGCGCATTGGAGAACTCCAGGTAAGCGAGAATTGGACCAGGACAAGATTTGCCGAGCCACTGCCTTTGAGCGGAGTTTCTTATTTTTATTAATCTCCAACAGTATTTTGAAACTTGAAACTCAATTGCTCAAGAGAGCTTAACTGATAAATCTCGTCCCAAATTCTATAATTTACACAAAAATCGTTCTCAACACAAGAAAAGCCATAAGAACTTGACTTTTCAATTTTGCTGGGATGTTTTTGAGATACTGATCACTATATTCGCCAATCGCGTTCATTCCGATTAAGTTACGATTCTGTTTTTTTTCTGGTGAGGGTTGTGTTCTCCAGTGTTTCTCAAAGTGAAAGTCACCAAAGTACACGGCTCTATGCATTGAAGGTATGGTAAGGTAAGGTAAGACATTGTCCAACGGTGACTGTCCCGATGCGTGTATTCATACCAACACCGGCGTGCGTTTCCGGATCGTTTCCAGCTTTACAACTTGGCCTGTCGGACCCACATGCTCCGCACTCTCTCATCGTCATGTGAGCTCCACCATTGAGCTTTGAGCTGAGATTTTTTGAAATTTCTCTTTCATAGCACTGCAAATCTGTACTGATGCGTTGTATATTATTGGTTGTAAAGAAAGTTCCCGAGCACTTTTGGAAATTTCATTTTCGAACGCATTCTTCCGGCGCCCGGTCGGACTTTGACACCAAGTTTCTTATGCTGTTCAGTAGAGGAAAGCCTGAAGTTTTCGCAACGCCTTCTGAATTTTGTGTACGCCAAGACGTGTTTGATCTGCACGTCAAAAAGAAAAATCTTTCCAACCATAAACTCACAATTTTTCTTCCTACGGCCATTTTTTTGCGCAGTTCAAAAAAATTCGCCTAAATCATGGGTGATCTGATTGAGAAGACTGTTAACTTCTGACCCGCAGCTGCACTCGAGTTTTGCGATTTGTGCTTAGAAAATACAAGCTGTCAAACTTGTCTCTGACTACAACTTCTTCGCAGCTGGCATCGCTTCTGCGGGAATCGTCACGCCTGAACGATGGGTCCAAAAGATGTGTAAGGCATTACCCCAACAATATTCGCAGTAATCAAAGACTTGGTCCACCCTATGCAGAACGACAAGACTTGAAATTCACTTACTCGAAAAATGGTGCATTTTTAGGGGCAAAAAATGGTCGATTTTTCAAACTCTCTGAAAAATTTTTTGCAGGTTGTCCCTTAGAGACATGAATGGTCCCCATAACAGCCCCAGCAGACCTGTATATGAACAGCATTTGAGCTCTCCAGCTTTCATCGTGCCTGAGATAATCTTGCACAGATAGGCCACTTTTCGCGGCGACCTTTTTCCTTTCTGCGCATGCTGGTGGACCGCAGTGAGGTGCTGAAAAGCCAGCAAAACAAATATATGTTATGGACAAAATTGTCTTTGCAATGAAGTTTGTAGCTTTGAAAAAGAATTAATCTGCTTGAAGTTACAGCGATTTGAAAAAATTTTCGCAAGTGCCCGGGAACTTTCTTTACAACCTAATAATTGCAGGCTCTCGCAATTGAGTTGTACGTTCTTCGTCACTTTGAAAATGAGGCTAAAGGCGGATGTTGAATCATCTTTTGTCTTTCTTGTCACACTCTAATGTCTCGCCCTAACATTGCAGTGATTCGAGGGTTTCAAAGCTTGAAGGCGTTCTTCCTCTGATTTTCGTGAAAGCATTTTTTCGCTTCCGGAATTTTTGCACAATGCCTCAACGGTTTTTGGTTCCAGGCTCTCACCAGGTTTATTTTTAACAAATCAAGTGACATGGGTTTTAAAACAGACTTTTTTTTCTAGTTAGATTGAAAGGAGAACTCGTGCGGTTAAGATTGGGTAGCTTGACGGCCGTTCTTTCCAGTGTCCAAAAAATAAATTTTGCATTGTTGCGGTCTTCTTTTCGCTGTGGACTGATGCCTAGCCGTCCTAAGAAGTTTCAGACAGCGTCCATAGCGTTTGCTTCGGTCCAAGAAAGTACTGCTCAATTTGCTTCTGAGGCTTTTTCAAGATTTCGAAAACTCGCGATTTTTTTATGGCGACTTCGGCTAATAAACATTCACGCTAGATCACCTATAAAAGGCAAAGTCAACGTCTCTAAGACATGGCATGAAATAGCCAAAAAAAGAATTTTTTGCGGCCCTCATACCTACTTTATGTGGACCACCCTGTAGTGCAGTAAAAAGTCGTAAAACCTACCATCGTAAAGGAAATCATGATCATTTGTCACTTCAAGCAAAGCACCAGCGATTGAAATTTGGCGAGACAAACATTACAAATTAGCTGAGAATTTATTCATATATCTACAAGAAAGAAAATCTACCATGGCACGTAAACAGACAAACTAAAGTTAAAAGAATTCATCCGTTCAGAGAGTTCGGGGAGAGAGATTTACAAGAAATATTAAATATTATGTACGTGAAATGCACTCATTTTGACAAGCGGGAAGGCATTAAAAATGCGTCACTTGCTTGTGAGCTAACGACTTGGATTCATAGCGTGGCACGAAAACAATAAGGAGTATCAGTCTGCTTTTTGAGCTAAACCCCTAGCTGGGTGGGTGCAAAACAGAACAGAGCTACGAGATAAATACAGCACATCAATATCCGCCCGCATAAGGTGAGTATGAGTCGAGCTGAACGAGTTTTGCTTGACCCTCACTGCAATTAGTATTCTGGCATACATCTCATTACTTTGAAGTATTATGAGTCACAAGAATTCAAACGAATCGACCTATTGAAGCAGTACCTGCACGGTAGCCGTAGTCACAATCACCCTGATCAAATCAACTACGACTAGAATAGGATACAATCAAACAGAGACTACTGTCCCAAGGAGATGTAATGATTTTGCTCTTCTTTGGCCCGATCTGCGCCATATACAAAAAGTTCCTCGAGCTTGCGCGAACGCTCCTCCTCGGCCAGCCGCTCCCGCTCTTGTTCCTCAGCCTCGCGTCGCAGCCGCTCCTCTTCTTCTTTCCGCCTTCTCTCTTCCTCTTCTTTCTGTTTTTTGATTCGGGCCGCTTCCTCCTTCTTTCGTTTTTCCTCTGCATTCTTCACACGCGTGACGATAGCTGCGATGAGGGCTGCACCTTTACCACTGCCATCTCCAGTTTGCACGATTTTGAACTGAAACTCATTCTCAATCACTACCAAAGACGTGCATTTATGATCCAAAAATCCAAAAAATGCGAGTAGTATGACAATGATTTTTCGAGGAGAAATCTTTCGTTTATGTATGAGCCAGTAGCGGACCGAAAGGGGAGGCGCGGTTGGAGGAATAGGTCAGGAAATTTTCAGAAGTTGCTCACATGAGTTCAAAAAAAGCACAGATGACTTGTTTAAACTTTCAAATAGTTAAAAATTTATAAAATCTTTTGAAAATCTGAATTAGCCTCTAAAAAGTTTTTTCAGGATGAGGGGAGGGGGCGGAACCTGTAAATTCGAGAAGCATCCCAAAATTTTTTCGGAGTGCGCGGCTACCTCCACGCACCTTCATACAAAGAAATTTGCCGCTCCCCCCCCCCCCCCCCCGGGACGGAAATCCTGTGACCGCCACTGCTATGAGTTGGTTGGTTACGAAAAGATACTCAAAGCCTTTTTGTAAGTGATAAATCCTATGAAACTAAGTGATATACAGGATTTTGGAATCAAAACTGAAATGGCAAAGTGTGAGGAGGCAATTTCGGGAAAAGAATGTCTAAAGATCACTTGCGCATGGAAACTGCAACGCTCATCTAATGGAAGCTATGACTTGCTGCGTGAAGAAAAGCTATGTGCCTACCTCGAGGCCCGGATCAATCAGCTCCTTGACCTTATCAACGACCCAATGGTCAAAGAAAGGATGATATTTGTATGTACTTCCGTCGATGGCAACAATCATATTCTTCCGTCGCACCCGATTCAGAACGCAAGCGATTGCTGCAGAACAAAGTATAAACGGCCAAAGAGATTGTGGAACTACTGAAGCATACCAGCAGCGCCAAGGTTCGCGCTTCTTCGAGATACAACGAGGCATACTTCTCGGAAAAGTAACATATCAGAGAAAGTGTAATCGTCGATAGCCAATTCATCCATAATTTGCCTTGTATTCGAGTATGATCCACAATCATCGCTAAAGGTTAAAAAGTTAACTATGAGATTCAAGGATTTGAAAATGATACTTACTGGAGAATTTCAGAGATGTACTTGGTAGGAAACGAGCCGACCGTGGACAGAGCTTGCGATTCAACTCCGTTGAAGAGAACCTAAACATGATGTTTAGTTGAGCACACCTGTACCTTCGCCGACTAACCTTATGCTGGCAAAGCTTCTCCAATACCAGGCGCACAACTTCACCCATGCACATACCGGCAACCAACTTATCGAGCCTAGAATGAAGATTGAGTAACTATTCGATTCAATAAATCCGGTCACGATTCCAACTTTTCTTCAGCAAGAAAGCTGATCTATGATTTCCGAATAAGATCATTGACACATTTATTTGTTCAATTACTTATTCATTTACTATCAGGCTGATGCAAAATTGATGCATGTTTCTTATCATGAAGCCGCAAAGGTATAAAAATCTATGAAACATACTCGATAGAGCAAAGCAAGTAACAAGAAGGTGTTCGAACAATCTTAGACAATTTGATACACGGTATAGGAAGAAAAACCTAAGAAATTTCAAGTTTCCAAAAATCGGAGCGCATACTCGAACTTTTGGTCTATACTCATTTTTCAATTTCCAGCCATGAAAAAAATACGACAATATACAAATGAATGTCTGATGTGTTTGGTATATATGCTTGACCAAACTGGAGGTTTACAGGATATTTTTGGGGGGAAATCTAATTTTTGCGAAGTGAAATTTTGTAGCTTCCCCCCCCCTCCCACCCTGCCTCGATTCTCGTTGATCGTTTCTTTTGCGATTGTTCAAAAGCTATCTTGCAGAGATTGCTCTGCTCCAAATGATGTTTCTAAAATTTTCATATCTTCAAATTTGCATTAACTTAGTGATTTATTTCTTCACTTGAGAGACAATAAGCCTGATTGGTAGAAAAGTTCAAAAAAAATCAGTAGTGAATTTTTCTAGTGGTTTTTGAGTAGTTATCAGTGACTACATTAACCATGGGAACTGAAATGTGCTAATGAACTCACGAGTTGACTCCTGGATGATCAGATCGTTCATCAATAATTCTGTCATACTGTGTGAAAATGTATTCGGCTTCTCCACGATCACCAAAACCTCCCCATTCTGTGTCAATTATCATCTGCAGACATTACGCATTTAAAAAATATCTTTTGAGTTGATGAGAGATTTCGTCTTCACCTGTTTGTGATGATATGGTTCAGTAGCGTTGGCTATACCATATTTTATTGCCTTTGAATCTTCCATGTATGATGCATTAGTTCCAGTACCTGCAATGCTCAATCATTATGTCGAGCGTCTGAGAGAACTTTGCCCCTGTGGTAAAAATCTTAAATTCATTCCTAGACTGTGAAAATTTTTCAAAAAATATTTCTAACCTATAATTACTCCCAGATCGCACTCCTTCGCTTCATAAGCAGCGGCGACCATAGTTCCTACAGTGTCATTGATAAGGGCCACGATTTCAACTTCAACTCTCTGAAATGAACTACATGGGGAGAAAAAATTTGAAAAAAAAACGCTTAGCAGTAAACGATCATCTGCGGTCCTTCTACCTCTTCCCAAAAAAAGCGAAGGATCCCATGCTTGCAGTTCCAAAAAAGATAAAGAACTTACTCCATCTCTTTTGATGGCATCTTCAAGTAGTTTTACAACATCTTTACCAACACAACCCGTTGCAGTGACACCTTTTGTCCATCTAAATGAGCAATTTTTGAGAAGTAACAGCAAAAAAAGAAAAAAAAACATTTTCTCTAATAATCTTGCTCACCTTAGAAGTGTGGCGCTCCTGAGACTCGTCTGGTTACAGGGGTAAGAGAAGGTGAAACCAACGGGTAGATTATCATGTGCAACATCTTTTTCTATGAGAAAATCTGCCAACGCTTTTGCAATGTAGTCGAACAGCTGAATCAAGAAAGTGATCCAACAGGAGAAAAAAATCGTGGAAAATTCTCACCTGTTCGCCGGTTCCGTGCATGGCTGCGTTGGGCATTCTGGTGTTGAACTGTTTGGTTCGCATGGGTTCACCAGGCTCGATCTCCATGATCATCACTCGCAAGTTGGTTCCACCAAGATCCATAGCAACGTATTTTCCACGCTCTGCAATTGTTCACTGTGTTCTATATCCCAAACCGACCAAAAAATGTAAAACAGTGAGTTTCTATTCTTACCTGTACCATTTGGCAATTCAGGTACGAAGGAAGGCAACATAGCAATAGTTGAATCCTAGAAACAGAAATCTTTACTACTTCAGAAGCGCAGATTCCCTCAACTCACATCTAGACCACCTTCAAGACCTCTGTCCATATTGTCACTCATATGAGACATCATTCTCCGCAATGTGTTATTTGACAGCTTGAATTCTGCCATAACCGACTCTAGCTGAAGAATATATACGCATTTGCACGAGCATAATATAGACTATAATATTTCATAAATAGATTTCCCGAAAAACTCACAGAAAATTCTCCCTGCTTCTCGAGTCGTGCCTTTCCAGCCACTTTTTTTATATCACGCTTGATACTGCGTTTTATGTGATCATCAGGATGGTGAGTAATATGCTGATGCCATGCTCTGTAAGTAAAGAGTAAAAATGACTTTTATCTCAGGTGTGGAAAGATAGGCCCTAATCAGTCTCATATCAGAATCTAGAATTTGATGAAATTATCATATTGTAAAGGTTCTAAATTTTTTCACCGTAACAAAAATTTGGGAGGCACGCTACTAACAATAAGATGAAAATAATCTATGAAACAAACTGCTTCCCGATGGAAATAAAATTACTATAAGCAACAGGTAAATGTTATTAGAATACTCATATCATTCAAACTATCAACTCCACATGTTCCCTATTCGGATAGTAACATTGGCTATTTTGCCCTTCGTTGGCCCGCGTTTTTGTCTATCATGATAGAGGAGGTAGCCCAAAAAAACTTGCGAGTGTTAATAAAAAAATTCCCCCCATCTTTCATGTTTATTGTTTTTTGTTTTTGTTGTTTGTTTATCAGCCAAAGAGCACTTTTTCGTTCTATGCTGCTTGTTTTACACTTCCACTCATTTGCTGCTATGTTTATTTACTATTTTTATCCACTATAACAATTCAAGAGCCACGTGTTGAGAAGCTTCTTCTTGGCAACTCTGATTTTGAACGATTTTTGACCGGGCGGGGAAGGTGAGGGGGATGGTAGTACGGTCGTACGCTCCAGCTCTTTCTCGACTCATGTGTGTGGTTCGACCTAAGGTGGTATAGACGCCACTTTCTTTTGCTTTTTCTGCGCTCAATCCCTTTTTTCTTTGAAGATTTAGAAATTTTAAATCGTCACTTTACCGCCTACCCAGGGTGAGGAAGCGAAGACCAAGTATGCTTTTGTCACAAATTTCAAACCGAAAAAAATTGTGACTTAAGAAACGTAGCAATCAAAAGTATGATATCGCAATTACTCACAAAGTATTATAAAATTGTTTCCTCTTCGAACTGAGAGGCTTCAGATTAGCGAGAGAGCTTATTGACACGATGAAGGAATTTTCAAAATCATATTCAAGTGACGTCCGCGAAGAAAATCGGATAAGAAACTTATGCACAATGCTTATTCAACGTATAAAACTCAATATCACGGAATGTCAGTGAACACCTTGAAGTTGCACGTTCCTTCGTACATCTCATTGAAATTATAAAAAGCAGCAGATCAGTACCCTAGCTATATGAACTATTGACACAAATTGACAGATTTTGCTTTTTCTGCGCGATTAGTTTCTTTGTTCTTCTTTGTAACTGAATTACAAACATATAGAACAAAGATTTCTTCCCTTTTTGAACTTCTTATACAGCAATTATTTTGTGCAAAAATTACTCAAAACATGAAAATTGTGAGCGCAAACTCTGAGGACAAACCAGACAGCGCCGTTACCTTCTCAGCATATTCGACTTTATCAGGAACTGGATTGATTTCAAAACCATGAATTTTCCAAAATACGTAAAAACAAAGGAGATAAGCCTTACAGCCTCTGTGTCTTGATTGTTTGAACCAATTCACACAATTTTACAATTTTTGAAGGCCTTATAACGCCAAGTATGTGCAAAAAAATGTAGCACACAAAAATACTTTCCACAATTCACATAAATAAGGAGAACTGTTATAAACAACATACCTGTAAGAGCAGGCTAATTCCAAGGCACCCAACATTACTTAGATTGCGGTATTTTTGGCTTTATCTGAAAGAAGAACACTTTTCGTAGCCGTAAAAATACAGAATCACAAAAATAAGAAATAGCATCGTATCGAGTTAAATGATGATTAACCTCTTCAAAATAGAGCAATTGTTCAAATGCTTCAAAAATGATGAGAGAGAACGACTTCATTAAATAAAGAGGTTCTAAGTAAAAAAGTAATCACTGCAACCATCAGAAATGGAAACGAAAACAGAGTTTCCAGCGACTGGATGGCAACATGTCTCTGATATTTGTTAGCCAAACAAAAGCATTTTCGACTCGGCGACAAAGTGACGGCCAAATAGCAAGCAAAACGTTATGTGGTTTGATATGCTGCTTTTTGCAACAATGGAATTCTCTGCCCACGTGATAGCGATAAAAACGAGTGCATCATTGCAGACGCAATCTGATCGATTATCGGGGATGAAATCCAAAAAAAAATCGAGAAAGAGAGGGGCGAGAAAAAACATCTTGCAAGAGCAAAAAGTGTAGACAGGGAAGTAAAATTTCAGTGTATACCTAGGCTATGGTGGGTTATGAGATAAGATATCAAACATTAACCTTTACGGCAAGATGAAGAAAGATCAAAAGTAATCTCGAATCTCGACCTGATACTAATGTACATAGCTGATTGTGACGAGATAAGTTATCGGCCTTAGACTTTAAAAATTGAAAATTAACAAAAAAGTGTTCAACAAAAGCCAATGAGCTGCCATAGAAACGAGATGTGAGATTGACAAGCTTCAAATATCCGTGCTTGGGAAACTTTTCTCTTGTCGATGAAGGAAAAAACTTTTCTATTATTATGTGCTTCGCAAGGCATTTTTCGCCTATTCGTTAAACCATTTATAGCCTGATTTATTATGGAAGAAAACATTCTAAGCTAGATAAAAAGGGAAGCTACTGACATATCAATCCCAAAAAAATTGGAGCGAAGCACCCACAATGCATACATCATTTATTCACACCAACATAGAAATCGCTAACGTTCTTTTGAAGCAGAATAGGTGGGTTTTGATCTCTTTGAACCTTTTTACAATTTCCCAGTCACGATTCCCAAATAAAAAGAGCACCGTGGATGTAAAAGCAAAGCAGTGAACACTCAAGTTGAAGAGCTTTTTTGCCCCCCTGCATGACATGCGTTCAGGTTCTGAGTTATATTGACATCATGACTATTAAGTGACAGCCTCAAAATGTGTTTTTATCATTTTTTTCAAAATTTACAGCCTATCTCCGGCTGTGTAAGTTGCCTCAAATACAGTTTATAGGCTCTCAACTAAGAATATTCTGGTATGAATGGTGCACTCGGCTGGTAACATCATTTTACTCAAATGCCAATAAAGACAAAGATAGAGTTCTACAAAAGATAGGGAATCTATGAGGAGAAAATGAAAAGAAAACAAAAAAGGAGAGTGGATAGAGACATCTAAAAATGAAAGGGGGTTATGGTAACGTAAAAGATAAGCAAGATAGATAAGCATAGATACTATAAGTGTACTCGTTGCCAAAAACAGATACGAAGATAATTTTCATGAGTTATTCATTACATATTCCACTTTTCTCCTGATTATCTTTGGATCGCATCCCGGAAGATGAGAATAGATAAGTGATATTATTAAATGAAATTGTGGAAATGGTCATTTAATGCACGGAATCTGCATTAATCGAATGAATACTGACTTAACTATATTCTTTGTATCTTAAACTTCGGCACATCCCAAACAATGAGAATAAATAAATAAAACAATTTATACAAAAAAGGAAAGCCTCACAAATCAGATGTGTTTGACATCTGATTTGTGAGGCCTATACCTGATCGGTTTTTGAGGTTTCCTTCAACAATTCAATTTAAAAGTGTTTTAAAGTTGAAGAAAATAAAGGTTCTCAGCACTGTGAATGCAATGAGAGAAACGTTTGTATAAAGAACCAAGAAAAGGTCGGATTTGTAGCCAGAAAAAAAATATACTTGATAAATGCGCATGCGCAACACTCTCCACAAACGAAGACATATAGCAATGATTTGTCGTGGAAATAGGGGTTAGAAAAGTGTTACCTCGTCGGTACGGAGCGGAATTCATAAAACAGATAATTTGCTGTCAATTACAATTTGCTGCTCGCCGCAGTTGATAAGAGTTGATTGGTGCCAAAATGAGAACACGCAGATAGTGACCAGAAGCGATAGCAAAGGGGTGACAAGTGTGGCCGAGGTGCAAATCTCAGAATGGAATGTAGGCGGTCTGCGTTTGCGGTCGAACCGGTTTAAACTAAGTGAATAATGACGCTTTGGGGTTTTGGTGATAAGAATGACTGAAATCCCGTCCTCCTAGTCCGAGTTTACAAGACCTACATCTTACCACTTTTAGAATACGCATCTCCAGTTTGGAACCCCCATTTGAAGAAGAACATCGAAAAACTTGAAAAGGTGCAAAAAACTTTTACCAGAATTGTCTTCTACAGGTGTTACCCAAAACCGGACTACCCTCAATCGTTGCCCTCTTATAGATCAAGGCTTATAGCCTTGGGACTTCATAGTCTAAAGTATAGACGAGTTTTTAACGACTTGATTTTTTGCTTCCGCATTCTAAAACTGGAGACTAGGTTACAACCTAGCAATTACTGGATTTTTAGACCTTGCGGTACTCGGACGGGAGGTCTGGGTTTGTGCTACCGAAAATTAGGCAGTAGGATAGTCTCTGTCGCCTTCAATTCTTTTGTGTGCCGGACAGCCAGATGGATTGAGCTATTACCAAGAGAGATTACCTCCTGCGAAACTTCTGCAAAATTTCGCAGAAATCTGGCTTCTATCAATGTTTTGGAGACTTTGGGAATTTCCGACGTTTAGGGGTGTATGACCGCAAGTTGTCTACACTCTTAGTAGTTTTTTCGAGTTTATTTTAGCGTTTTTTGAATTTTTTGAGAGTTTTTTTTCTTCACTTTTGCTAGACAACAACTTTTGTTGAAACAGGAAAAAAAATAATTGCTATGCCTTCGGCGTAGTTTACTGGTGAATTTTTGCCTTTTTCTGTAAATCTTTCCGCCTGATGTTCTACCGATCAGCACCGGGTCAGTCTCTTCGCGTGGACTAGCCGTTTAAGGAGTTCCGACGTTGGCGAGCCCTCTACCTTGAGATCCCCCCTCCCACTCGCCCAGGGTCTCAGACGAATTCGTTCGTCTAGAGTCAAATTGGTCAGCCAAGCCCTGGTATCTTCTACCAAAACTGCGTTTGGGTTTGGGAAAAGGAGCTCGGCAGAGGATTGATTTCTCACCGCTGAAGAAGGAAAACGACCTGCAGACTCCAGCAAGAGATCTGATTGTTTCTTGTTTTTAATTTCTATTTTTGTCGGTGCACCCTTGTGTGTATATTGATAAATAAATAAATAAATAAATAAATCATTTCGAAGTGATGAAGTGCCTTTTCCAAATACGCAGGGAAAAAATAACCGCGAAGGTGAATGCAAACATTGATTTGCGTTTGACGCAAAGAGATCAGATCTAGCACATCAAAAAATTTCTGCAAAACCCTGCTGAATGCTTTCCAAAGCTGCAAACTTTATCGCACTATCTTGCACGGGAACAACAACAAAACTAAAAAAAATTCTTCCCAAAGAAACGCGGTAATTCATTCGCGTTTATCACCGCAAATTCAATTAGGAACACATTGTACACACCCACGCCCCCAAAGTTGGATGAAAAAGTGCAGAAGAAAGAAATCGCTGGTGCTGTTCAGATGGCGGTTTGATCGCCGAATGAACCAATCGATCGGGTTCTGATAGGCTAACGGTAATAAATCAAACCTAATGAACAAAGAGCATGTTTGCGGATTGCTGGGGTCGCAGAACTGATGATAGATTGTTGACGTGAATCTATCAATAATTCGGGTTAAAATCTATCGAGCAAACTTTGATTTGGCAAATTTTGTCGATGTCTTTGACGTTCTTAACAGGGGGAAAACAGTCAACTGCCAGGGACTGCATCGATCGCATAAGAATACTTGAAATTGCATTTTCAAACAACATAATGGATCGTCTAGACTATCTGGTTTGCTCATCATTTCTTCTGATAAAATTCAAAAGAATCGCTTGGCCACTAAGGCACAAATTATGCGAGACTCAATGAGACAAATGGATCCATCAATCAAGAAAAGGTCCATGAAGATCTCAACATTGCCATATTTCGCGACCGTTCCAAACTTCTTGCAATCACATGTGCAAAAAACTTTAGTTTTTCCTTACCCAAACAGCAAATGTCCAAATATAAAGTGCAACCGAAATAGCATTTTAAAAATTTAGATGAAGTTGTTGTGAATAAGAAACAGCAATGCAATAATTCCGTTTGACAAAGGTACGGACTTTTCTCAAAAAAACAGCTATAAATTAGTGCGGGAGTCCTGCATAAAGTTTTTAAAATTGGAAACGAAAGGTCAGCACATAATTTGGCAAAAAAGAGGAAGAAAAAAATCATTGCTGGAGTATTGTGTAGGAATAAGCCGATGAATAAGATTTTGCCGGTCTCAGCAAAATTAAGATACTTGGAATTTGATGCTAAGTTGCAGTGAAATCCCGATTAATTCGCAAGATACCGCAGTGTTTTTAAATATTTATAGAACTAAATTTGTAGGTTGTAACACATTATTTCATTCGCAATGGTTATCTCTTGAAGGAGTTATGGTAATCAAAACTGAACCCCGAAAACTGGTAGAACTTTTAGAACAACCGGAACAATCCTTACAAAAAAGAAGTCATGCCGATTATGAGTCCGTGAAACGTTGGGATTTTTAAGAGGTATGGAGTAATAGACAACAATAACCATACAGGGTGTCCCAAAAAATGTGCCTACTGTTTGAATGTAAATAACTCTCTTGTAATGAAATGATTCGAGAAGCTTTAGGTACCGTTGTGTAGAGCGAGGTTAAACTTAGATTCACAGCATGGAGCGAATAATCTATCTCTCTTCTTTACTGTAGGATTAAGGTAGGAACTTCCTGCATATGGAACCATTGTGAAATATACC